CACCCATAGAATTAATTATATGGTGTAAGGGCAGGAGAGACTGTGATGATTTACACTAGCACCCATAGAATTAATTATATGGTGTAAGGGCAGGAGAGACTGTGATGATTTACACTAACACCCATAGAATTATATGGTGTGAGGGCAGGATAGGATGTGATAATTTACACTAGTACCCATAGAATTAATTATAAGGTGTGAGGGCAGCATAGGGTGTGATGATTTACACTAACACCCATAGAATTATATGGTGTAAGGGGAGGAGAGACTGTGATGATTTACACTTGCACCCATAGAATTAATTATATGGTGTGAGGGCAGGATAGGGTGTGATGACTTACACTTGCACCCATAGAATTAATTATATGGTGTGAGGGCAGCATAGGGTGTGATGACTTACACTAACACCCATAGAATTATATGGTGTAAGGGCAGGAGAGACTGTGATGATTTACACTTGCACCCATAGAATTAATTATATGGTGTAAGGGCAGGAGAGAATGTGATGACTTACACTTGCACCCATAGAATTAATTATAAGGTGTGAGGGCAGCATAGGGTGTGATGATTTACACTAACACTCAGCCGTTAGCCTAGTTTATTCAATAGATCTTTTATGTCAATCAAAATAATCCAAGTTAAAATATTTATTCTTAGTAATCTTAGTTTGTTTGCTACGCAACACAACAAATGTACTGTTACAGATTATCTACTTACAGGTTTCACGCTTCGTAGTTTTGGCGTTTAACACCAGGTAAGAGACTGTGTTTTTTGCACTTTGTACAAACTGCTTCTCAAATAAACTTCTCGTTTTCCGCAGATCCAGTGTATTTAATGAGATTCGGTATTGAACGAAAACACGAAAGACAGACCCTAAGTGCTATTTATACCCAGCTCTGGTTATAAATCCGTGGCGAATTGATAACAGGATTGCCAGAAAATAAAAATACAGTCCAATGTAATGTTTCGACCCATAACGTAAGCCTAAAATAAAACTACTGTTTACAAACACGTCAAAATTATTATTGTTTCCTATACATATTCTTTATATACTTTCAGCTGTTCCCAAGAGTGGAAGGAAAAACACACAAATCATCATCTCATACTTTCGCTCGGTGATCTGTAAAATCTAAATGCTTTCTCGTATTAAAGAACTCTTTCTTTCTAAGTCTTAAAAATGGAAAGTTTCTGTTTGACACAATTCAACATCCAATTACTATATAAATACAGGCTTGTTTTTTATGATTTTTTAATAACTGACATTTTCCACTCATTTATTTAAACATATTAATTTATCTTCACTTACTTTTTCTCTTTTAAACTAAATATTATGCTTAAATAAGTTCTACCTTTTATGCCATTTACAAGCCCTATTAGATACGGTAAAATAGCAAGTTATAGTTTATAAAATCAGAAACCTTCTGCCAAACAATTATATAAGAATTCATAAGTACAAAATCTCGAATTAGTTTAACCTTTTTCGAATTTCACAGTAACCTTATATCTCATCTAACCGTCCATATTCTATTGCTACAATATAACGAGGTAGTTTATGAACAAAACTAAGGCATTCGTATAAATACTTATTGACTCAGGAGTAAGAGGTTGAAACTAACCAAACAAGCCTATTAGTTCATGTACGTTCCAGTATTTTTTTTGTTAATCTTAATGAGTAATATTGGAAAGTTTGCAGAAATCTTAATATGTTTATAAGAACATGTTCGTGCAGTTTTTATGCCTTTATCACTTTTTTCAGTGCAGTGGCTTGCTTCAAGTACTGGGTTGTAAAACAAAATTATCAGATGGCTCTAGGAAGTATTTTATTAGTTTACTTGAAGTTGTAAAAAAATAGTTTGATTTAACTTTTATACAGTTGCTTAATTTTTTACCTAATAAAACTAAATATGTTTTATCCAAAGTTATTTTAAATCAAACTATAATAAAAAAAGATGAAGTTTAGAGTAAATGTACTGCGAATTTACGTCGTGCAAACTAGGCGAAAAGTAGGGGCTAGACTGATTGTGTAATATATTCTCCATACTCTATTCAAAACTCTCACTCGTGTATTCGAGTATTTTCGAATATAAAGCTTATATGTAATATGTAAGGACAATACTGTTATTCGACTTAAAATTAAGGATTTGTATATATATGGAAAAGTTGCTAAGGCTACCTGCCGCCGTTCATAGTTTTGAACTACTGACCAGAGGCTAGCTAGTCAACCAATCAGCAGCACTCTATCACCCCTGTTAAGGGATTGGCTGGCACTTTTATAACGAACACACACCTCGGTTGTGTAGGGAATGTTTTTTGTTTTTTGGTATTGCAAGGATTCGAAACTCGTAAAATGAAGAAAGGCTTTTGTATTAATTAATTAAAACTTTCCATAACTTACTGAAGTAAGTTAAATTTGTACTTATTTTAGAAATTTACTTATTAAATCAGTCATCTGTGTAACGTGGATATGGACAATAATGGAAAACTCACTTATTAAATCAGTCGTTTGTGTAACGTGGATATGGGGTGAGTTTTCCATTATTGTTATTAAATCAGTCGTCTGTGTAACGTGGATAGAGGCAATAATGGAAAACTTGTCTGTGTAACGTGGATAAGGGAAAAAATAGGAAACTCACTAGCTAATAATATATCAATCATTTGTGTACTTCGGTTATGAACAGTAAAGAGAAAGAACTTACTTTTTAAGCCTGTTATATGTACAGTGAATTGAAATATATAAAAGCTTACCTGTTAAACCAGTCGTCTGTGTAACGTGGATAGGGGAAAGGGTCGTTACTACTGAAATCGTAGCTGGCTTTTGAGTTCTGTAAACATGAGATGCAATCATTTATGTACAGATAAGATGACGAGCGCTTTTACAAATCTTCAGTAACCATTATAATACATTAATGTCCCTTTTCGATTTCTTTGTTTTATTTAAAATATAAAATATACCAAGAATCAAGATTTTTAGCCTAAATTCATAACTATCATACGTCTGCCTAATTCTTATACTCCAGCTTACATATAACCATTATATGTCTAACATACTATAATCCAGTGAGCTGTGAAATTAAAAATTCTAAGACATTAATCAAGTATTAATTCTACGAATTATAAAAAAAACATTTTGGGATATCTGTAGAATGATAAACTTATGATGGAAAGAAATAACTTTATCTTGTGCGCATGTCAACATTTTCTGGAACCTCAGAATTTATTGTATTGTTTCATGCAGAGAAAGATGTACATGTTTTATTTTAACTATAAATACATGTTATTTTAAAGTTAAAACACAGAATCCTATACTACCAACTATACAGATTATAAAATGTGATGTGAATGTTGAAACAAGATTTTTTTAGTAGTTGTTAAATAAATATGTATTCAATTAAAAACTTAACAGGCAACTTTTTTATTTCAAATACAGAAGATGAAATTATTCGTCTTCTTTCTACGGAAATTGAATTTTGGCTAAGAGCGTTATTTTTATTTCTATTGAAACTGAACATTGATTAATAGCTAGCTATCCTTGATTTTGTTTCTAATAACAAAACCGACATATGGCAAAGGCCTTATTCATTGTCTTGTTCCTCTACTGAAACCTAAATTTGGCTAAGAGCCTTATCCTTCGTCTATTTTCTAATACAATTGATGATACTCAGCTCCAGAGTGTAGTTACTCATTATACTAATGTCCAAGAAAAGCTTTCTATGGTAATATGTCGGATGATATACTTGTCAGTCATGATTCTTCTTTCATACACTTAAGTATAGCGCATGACACGAAATATTCTTAGCATAGAAATATAAAAAAATAGATAAACACACCAGTGCTTAAAATAGATATAAAAATTTAACATTTTGTGTTTTATGTATAAAAGTAATTTCTAAAGAAACTACACAGTTCGAGCTACTCGAAAGTCAGTGCGTCTTGTGATTAGTTTATGAAAATATAATTATATTACTTAGAGTGGGTTTCAAGTCTCACCTAAATGTCAAAGTTTAAACGTTATATTAACAGTAAGCTAAATCTCGTGTACCGCTTTCGCTATAACCGTTTTATACTGAGTCAAAACGTTCTTAGATAAGTAAATACCACAACGCTCTTCCATTGGCACAATGGTAAATCTGAGGGCTTATGATGCTAAATATCGTGCTTCGATACCTGCATAGCACAGATAGCTCATTGTATAGCTTTGAGCTTGAAAAAAAGGGCAAACTAAAAATAATTGAATTGTTACATTCTCCCCCGGTGGAGCAGTGGTAAGTTTACGGACTTACAACGCTAACATCCGTGGTTCGATTACCGCGGTGGACACAGTAGACAGCCTAATGTGTATTTGCTCTAAAAGAAGTAAAGAAACAAACTCACTAGAATAGCAATACCTTTACTTAGCAAAAAACGTTTTAAAATGTTATATAACAATCGGCAACGGATCACACAGAAGAAACAATGTATATTGTAAACAGCCCCCAGTGCCTTAGCGGTAAATATGCATGCTTATGACTCTAAAATTGGGGTTTTGATACCTGTGCTTGTAGTTAACCCAAAAACAAAACAAATAAATACTGTGAATAGTTGATCAGGAATTCTTGCATTGATTAAAATAAGCAAAAAATATCTTAAAATTCTCAAAAGCCAGCACACGTCTTTACGAAATGCAGTGCGTATGCGTTTCATTTATATTAAACATATTATGTAGAAAGTAATAGTGTTTCTGAATATAACCACTCCATCGGTGTTGACGAGAGTATAAAAATTTAAGTATTTCGGCCTTTCAAACTGAAGGTTAAATCACTCACTAATTTCAGTTCAATGTGACAATTTTTTTTTGTGTGTGTGTGTGATACGAGGTGAGTATTTGAAAGTCTGAAAGTGGGCAGTACAGAGTCCACTGAAACACAACACAACAACAACAAAAAATGAACGTTATTAAACGAAAGCACTTACGTAATTGTTTCTCAGGTCGGGGTGCATATAATCAACGCCTGAAAGGAAGAAAAAAGTCATAAAGTCATATAACGAGAAAGTGTAAAACTTCTCAGACTTCTTCTTTGTTGATTTTATCACTAACAAAAAGTTATAGCACAATGAACGTACGTTCGTTGTAATATAAATCAACTCATGTTAACTTCGAATTGTTTCAGATATGTTCCCAAAAAAATCATTGGGAAATGAGAGTAGGATAGCAAACAAATTCTGTAAAAGTCCAGCAGACTCTACGAATTACTCGTAGTGTAAGAAGAGCATAATACTACTTTTAGCACATAAGTGTAGAGTAAATCTAATTAGCATTACATGTCACAACACTCAAGTAACAAAAGTTACGGATTAACTACATTTGAATACCATAATTTAGTAAGTTATCTTTGGAGTAGACAGAGATTAATTGGAACTTTGTAATAAATCAATATTAAATTCCAGTATTGAACTATAAACAAATGGACCTTAACATTTTGTAACCAAGTTCCATCTTTATTAGGACTAACGAGTCAGCTTTTGACATGCATTTCAGAACAGATGAGCCACAAATGACAATTCAATAGAGATAATATTAGTTGGTAAAAAATATCTCTGTGTTTTAGTTTTATTCATTGCCGTTAATTTTCTAATACATTTAAAAATGAGCTACTGATGTTAAATACGTTTATTCGTTTTTTAAGGCTAAAGTCAGTTACACAGGATAACTGCAAATGTGTATGAACAAAAGTAGAGGGGATTGGGGAAACGTAAGAAATTAATGTAAAACTTACTACATTACTAAAATAACAGAGCTGACATAAACTTTAAGTTTTCGGGTTGAACAGCGAGCCGTTATGATGGAAATATTCTAATGCTCTGAAGTTTATTACTTAATTGATGACTCCCAATGACTAAGCAGTAAGTCTGAGGGATTATGACGTTATAAAATCAGGTTTCGTTCCTCCGCGGTTGGCATAGCATAGACAGCCCGTGGTATAGTCTGGTGCTTAACATCAAACAAAGCAAGAAAGTTTGTAAATGTTTGATAGTGATATCAGAAAATCACTGAAGTTACGCATTTAAGTGAAAAAGAAAAAACATTTACAACTAAGTTGAGGTTGTATTTATATTATAAGGAAATTCTTTGAAATTCATAAGAAGTTAACGTTTAAAAATGGAATACTTGAATTTGAAATGTGTTCAAATATTTATTGTAATGTTGTGCAACAGTACAAGAGAGAGAAATATTTTCTATTTACTAAGCCTAACAATTCTATGTTATATAACAAAAAGTTATTTCTACAGACGTCCACAAATAAAAGAAAAAATAAATTATGTTATTTTAAACGCGACATTTCGAGAAAATGTACTTCTTTGGGCTTTACAGCAATACAATGGTGTATGACAGTTAAAATCATTCTTGAGTGAAACAAACGTACAACGTAGTGTGTACTGGTGACCGATGAAAGGAAAGTACTGTTTACACTTGAATGGACTTTAATATTGTCACAGGTGTTGTTCACTCTTGAAAGGAGTTTAATATTGTTACAGGTGTTGTTTACACTTAAAAGGAGTTTTTTATTGTTACAGATGTTGTTTACACTTATAAGGAGTTTAATATTGTTACGTGTGCTGTTTACACTTGAAAGAAGTTTAATATTACTACAGTTGTTGTTTACGATTAAAATATATTAATATTCTTATAGGTGTTGTTTACACTTGAAAAGAGTCTAATATTGTTACAGGTGTTGTTTACACTTAAAAGGAGTTTTTATTATAGCAGGTATTGTTTACACTTGAAAGAAGTTTAATATATTACTACAGTTGTTGTTTACGATTAAAAGGTATTAATATTCTCATAGGTGTTGTTTACACTTAAAAGAGATTTATATTGTTACATGTGTTGTTTACACGTGAAAGGAGTTTAATATCGTTACAGTTGTTGTTTACACTTCTAAGAAGTTTATATTGCTACAGATGTTCTTTACGCTTAAAAAAAGTTTAATATTATTATACGCATTATTTACGTTTGCATTGTTTTGATATTGTTACAAGTGATTTTAAAGAACAACTTCGTTTGACAACAATAAAAATAAAAATGCTTTTTTTTCATAATACGTGCTTTAGACGCTTTGTTAATAAACGAATTTTAATTCCATATGAAAAATAGATATCTATTTTTATTACGGCATTTCGGTTTTATACCTTCATGGAAGGTTAGAGGTGCTGGCGAGCTCCGGTTACAACTGTAACCACGATAAAAGTGTAAAAATAAAACACCGAGAAATAAATCAAACAAAACCGACTGTTTAATCCAAAGTAGAATTTTGTTATTGTTTTTTTTTTTCAAACAAGCGTTTTTGGATGGATTGAGTATATATTTCATCAGCACGGCATTGTCAGGTGGTTAGGACGCTCGACTCATAATCTGAGGGTCGCGGGTTCGAATCCCCATTCCACCAAACGTGCTTGCCCTTTCAGTCGTATGGGCGTTATAATGTGACGATCAATCACTTAGTAAAAGATAGCTGTTTAGTCTTACGCTGCTAATTAGAGAAATTCAAAACAAACAAATATATATTTCTCTTTCTTCT